CAATTAATTGAAATAGAACTTTAGAGCTATTAAGTGTAAACTGCCTTTTTATGCGTTTTTTATTCGCGTTTTATTTAATATATTTTTAATATATTGCTCCTCTCTTTAGATAAAGGGTTTGAATACATATATTTATGTGGGATATATCTTAGGTTCTGCTTACTATATGTTAGCTGAACGAGAAATCTTCTTATGTGCGAAATCTGACAAGTAGATAGACCTATTCAAACGTTTTTTAGGAAATCAATAGCAATTATCTCTTTAAAAACATACAAAAATCCACTCTTGCTCTAATGCATACATATGTTCCTTTGGGAAGTCTGCCAAAAATGTCAAGCCATACTTTTAAAAGCTCTTTTCAAACAAATATACTTTCTACTTTCAATGATACAGCAGGAACAAAAATAAATACAGACTGACATACACCAACGGAGGGTATTAATACTTACTTCGTCATGGATATTTTTTATTTTTTGTCTTACCAATTTAACAATCACTTCTTTGCACGTATTGGGTAAGTGAGGGCTTTAACAAGTGGGTTATGACACTCATAAAAATCTAGAATTGGAAATTAATTTCCTATCTTAGGTGAGTCCCTACCTTATTGGTTTCGTTTCTAGTTTACTCTAGTACAAAGAATATTTTTGCAATGCAAGTATAAAAAAATGGTTAACGGAAATCGTTTGATTTCTAAAGTCTATAGATATACCTGGAATACTATTAGTGCATAATCCTATATATATGATTAATAATATATATCTATATATAATATATGAATATGCACTAATAATATAAGTAACCCAAAAAACTAAAATTTAGCAAACAATCTGTAAACTTAAATTGTACACTAAGTTTAGCATTATTTAATAATAGAATACATACATTTGCCTTGACAAGAAAATATTATATTTGTAATTATAAAGATGAAGATGCAAGGGCTTGCTTGCACGCACATTTGATACCTTAAGACTATACTTCATTCCTGAACTTAAAAAATATGGTGTGAAAGTGTAAGACAAATCCAACAAATAGTTGCTATTTTAGGGGTATTTTGGACATTTATATAATATACATACATATTTTTGATTTTGTTTTTCTCTGAACATCTGTCTCACTAATTTGAAAATGATTCCATAAAACCCCAGTCGGTCGTTTCTAATTGTTCAAATAGATTGGTGTGCAAAATCTTAACTTAAAAGCTAATTTAACCAAGTTATTGTAAATTTTGTATAATTGGGTTTATTATTGGGTGTTCTAAAAAATTTTTAGTTGCTCCACATTTTATAACTTTTAACTTAGAATATTTTAGAATGGATAAAATGCAGCTATGCTGGAAGTACTAGTAAAATTTAGTATCACAGTATTTTATATAAGGTCAAATTTTGCATTATATGTATGTTTATTATTCTGCAACATTAATTGTCCCTATTCATAATTTAGTAGCATTGTTTTATTGTTGGATATGGATCTACATGAGAATCTAACGTCAACTTATATATGAAACAGCTGGGAAGAACTAAAGAAGCTTCTTTATTTGTACATTCCAAGACAGTGCACAATAAATCAAAGATAGTAATAAACAAAAATTGTGTTATGTGACAAGGGTCCCATCTTATGTGTTGATTAGAACTACGTTAGCGCCATTCTCTGTTACCAAATAAATCCAGTTAAATGAACTCATAGTTATGAGATCTTCAGAATAAAATGATTCTGAGAGCTTTTTTAAATCAAGCAAACAAACTAAATTTCTACTAGAGTTTACTGTAAATAATTTATAATTTCAAAAACGTCAAGAGTCTATTTATTACTTTTACGTTAAAATGTCATAGTAAATATTGGAAGCTGAGTCAATCCTCTTGGGTGGTGTTACAGCAGTAAAGCGTACAGTTTAGTACAATCAGCAAATTATGTCAACTTAAGATAATAAAGCAAAATAACTCAACTTAAAATTTTTATTAACAAACATTGAGCTATTTTATGGTATTGCATGCTATGTTATTGGTATTGCCGTTATTGTATGGCAAGCATAGATAGGGGGTCCACTTTTGCCCAGAATACAAAATATTAATTTTCAAATAATGTCGGGAAGAGGCGACACAACCCTACGTGCCATGTTCACATATCGGAGTCCGTACTTATTATTTGGTCAGAGTATTGATATGTATATATAAAAGAAGTTAAAATGCTGCTAAGGGCATGTTCTACTTCGACACTCTGAATTATTGTTGAATTATAGATTATTGTATCGCTTGCCCATTGAAAACTAGTCGTATATACCACACTAGATGTACGCTAAGGAAGCACTGACCTAAATATAATTGAAAGTCCATGATTTTTTATTCTCCTACTTTCCTTTAAATTAGAATATGCCTGTGCGAGTATAAAAATTAGTGCCAGGTAAATTAAGTTTTGCTGTGAAATTTTAAGGTATACTCAAAAGTAATTTAGAAAAAAATAATTATTATGTGTATCTAAGTATTTAGGTGTGCGGCAAATGCTCAGCATAGCCGGATATCAATTTAAGTATTCACTTGTAAAGCCCATCAATTGCCTGTGCTAATATTTAACTTGCGAATAAGTTTGAATTCGAGTGTCCTAATGGGTTTAAGATTGCATGATATATAAAATTACGTATATTCATTTAAATTTGTAAATTAATATATTTATTTGTATATTTTGAGGCACAATTCTACGCAAACAACGGCATTCTTTAATTGTGGAAGTAGTATCTTGGTATTCGAAGCTGTAGATTTGATTTAACTGCTTATTTATATTTATTATTCAAATTACTATATTTTGTTATTAAAACCCTTTTAAATGGAAGCGGAAAAGTTGTAATACAGACCGAATGTTGTTTTATACAAATCTAAATTTGACTTTTAGCCACATACCTTCAAAATAACCTTAGCATAATATGTAAAATTTTGTAATTATGTTTCTTAATTCATCTTAAGTCTTTAGGGTTTCAATTGACTAAGGCCTTTGTTTCATATGCGGCTAAAAGTTACTCTTGACTTTAATTATAAATTTAAAATGTGTGATGGTTCCTCGAAAATCAATTCAAACTTTTCTAAAAACTAAATGTTCTACATTTGCTCAAACGTATTTTTCTAACAAAAAATAGTTGTATTATTTCGGTTAGTAAAAGTACATTAGCTTCAATAACATTAATCGAGATTACATAAAACTAGCCTATCTGTGAAATTGTTATAACAGAATGGCACTAATTCGGAAGATTTTTTAATATATAAGTACGAACAGGGTCACATTACGGCAGTTTTTGCTTATTTAGACTAATAAGTGATGTTATTATATACAGCTGCATTCATAAAAACAGTACTGCGACTGAGCACTAAGTATTGCACAAAACTGATAAAATCAGTATTATGAAAAAAAAAAAAAGAAGAAAATGGAAATGAATATTAAATTTAACATATTAAGTTATTAATCACGATATTTTTGTTACAAACTTAGAATATGTGCACTTCAGATCTTGAGAATGAGAAATTCTCAAAATAGTTGATCATAAAAATAGTAGTGGTTCTAAGTATTTTAACTTAATCGCCCCATACGTTCTCAATAGGATAAAAATTCATAACGGAGCTGGCTATGAAATAGCCTCAATCTTCCATATTATTTTTTCATTTTCATTTCGCGGGAATGCGAAAATATGGAAAACAGTCATATCACATTGTTCAAACCGACGTGTTTACCTATTCTTCTAGTATACTGTATAGAATGTTCCTTGGCCGGAAGATTTCAAATAACACTACTTGACTCACATCTTTTAATACTAGTATTTAGTTTTGAAAGTACTGTTAGGCTATAGTGTATGGGCGATAAATATTGTAGGATTAATAGCATTATAAGCTTTCTCTGATTTTTAGCAATTTCAATCAACTTCATCACTAAAATATAGAAGAATTATTTAAAATTTCCTGTGGACAAGTTTTTAAATTTTCCTTTTTTTTTAACTTACATCCACCACTATTTCCATGAACAGCCGTTTTTCAATGCACTTCGTTAAAATTTTCAAAAGATAATTAACTCTGACCAAAAGTAACGTGATTTACATAATACTCTTCTTTTCATTCTATTGTAAAAAAACATGAACAGATGTACCGTACGTACTGTACGTATGGTACAACATGTTGTTAGTGTTCTATACAATGCAGAGCTATTATTTTTATGAGCGCAACTGTATGTGTGTTAATTTTCAGTAAAATGTGGTTTATAAACATTTGCTGTCGAAGACATTTCAAAGTATGGATAATCATTGTATATTTCGATGTTATATAGTAACAATGACCCCAGTACATGTTATATAGTTGTTAATTTATATTTTTACAACTTGTTATAAAAAAAAATATGATAAATAAATAATATATATATACTTAATTGTCTTCTCATGTATTCATCAGTAATTTACACCTATACTTAGCCTGTAGCTCGAAAGCAAATGTCCAATTTGTGTCCACGTTAAGTTCGAGCTATAGATGAACTATAGGCGCAAATTACGGATGCATATATCACACGACAATTAAGTAATAAGCTATATTTTTATATATTTTATATGACTTATAGAGGGGACACCAGGAATAAACCATATACTACCATACCAATACATGGTTACCTGAATACCAGCACTAGCTGGTTTGATAAAACATAATTGAAGTTGTATGCGAATTATTTGTATGTAGTTGACATTTTCCATAAGTTGTTACATTTTAACATTGGCCTAATGCTGTAATGGTATTTGCATTGTCATAAAAGCCTCATTACACCATACATATTATAATAATTTATTTTTGAGGCCTGAATAAGAATGATGTTAATTCGCTTGCGCAAAAAAAGTGTGTGTAAAACCAAATATTGGGACCTAAGAAAAGTAAGACGGATGAAAAGAAATTCGTTTTATAATTTCGAAAACTTGTCATGGTAGCTTACATATGGTACCTCCAATAGCTACAATTATTAATCAATATATGTAAAATCAATTGTTTTAAGTAAAACGCCATAATACTTCTTTACTTAGTTCCAGCATAAAAACTACATTCTATTCTAGAAATATTCTACTGAAAACTCTCATTGTTCCAATATTTGAAACTAGTTGTCTGTCGTTGTTAATCCGATGCTTCACCGGCAGGTTATCAATCAAATTTAATGGGGATTCATTTGATTGAACAAAACTAAAATTGCAGTCTGCCGCGCAAGTTTTTTTATAAACTATATTATCTAAATCTATTAATTGCTTGCCGTTGTTGCTGTCTTTTATTAAAAAATGTACTGTCATACGTATGTATCCAGATAATGGTAAAGCTGAGTGCAGTCATTCCACAAGTCCGAACTGGTCTTGTTCAATTGGTTTCTTCAGCCAACTGCCAAGATCTTCTCGTTTGAATGCAGAAAACAGCTCTTGCTTAGCCGTCTGCAATGCAAAATTACGTTGGTGTGGCTACTTATCGGAGCATGAACTCAACTTACTAACCTGGTAGTCCTTGACATCTGCCTTAGTCTCTCCGTAATCCTTAGTGACCTTGCGATTTGGCATACCCGGTAAGTTTTTCATCAAAAATCCATATTTATCAAAGAAGGCTTGTTTTGTAATCCTAGATACTTGGCCGCCAATAGTTCGCCCGGTTAACGAATTGACAACCTCAAGTTCAGTGTCACCAATGGTCCAATTAATGCCAAAGTTCGGCGCTTTAGCTTGATTTCGTGGCTCTGCAGAGGTAACTAAAGCAAGACGTGGCTTATTTAAATGATACGGGGGTGGTAGACCCTGTATAGACTTTTCAATTCGTCCGCACACGGCGCGGTACATGTGTTCCGGATGCAACAAACTTCCTAATACAATGGAATGCAGATAAACTGGCTCGATAATAGCAGACAATAGCGAGCCCTGAATACCCACAATGTTCCAGCGAGCAATTTTATCCGAACATGACATTGTTAATAGACGCTGACCCTGCAAATACAAAATGTTATTGTGGCAATTTTGTGAAGCCCTTATAGATAAGCACTTGCCTGTAGTACGCCATCCCACGTTTGAATGCCATCGCTGCTTTTTACTGGTATTGTTCCTTCTCCTGATTCGATCTTCGTACGCAACTGTCCACGTGCTTTTCTATACGTTAGTAGTAATTAATGTTATATTGCCAAAGTTTGGGTAATACCACGATAGCCAAGAAATGCAGAAGAGCAACATGTACGATTAGAATCCCAAAGCAGTTGCATGTTATTATTGGCAAGTCAAGAAATGATAAAAGGGTAGTAAAAATAGTAATTATAAAATCGTCCTACATTTTTGCAAATTACATACAATCTGATATGCTTCTCTCTTCAGACAAGACAACACGATCAGATTTACAACCTTTTTTCAATTTTTCATTTATATACCTAGTGCTTAGCGACATGCAGTCAGTCGTTAAAACACATATAAGTTTGTGTAGGTACACGAAAGCGTTAACCTGTCAACACCTATAAGCAAAAGGCATTAACCCTACAGTAGTACGATTTGATGAAGTCGGAGCATTTGACAATGAAGACAGTAAACATACCTATCCTAGACAATACTTATATTATACCACGTATATTAGGTTTTCCCGATGTGTATTTTGTATTTATCGCATAATAGCTTGTATCGGACTATTAGTATTAAACATGTCTACAGTTTGCTTAAGACATTTCGCAAAACTAATTAATCTTCACTACTTCTTTATCCGCTCAATGTATGTAATGTTTAAGACACATATATTTTGATTGGATTGTATTGGTTAACAAGTGTGTGTGCCTGGCAAAGAAATTTAAGCATACATGAACGCTGTGTGACACATGCTCGAAATATATATTATTATTACAATATACAATAAATTCGATACACAATATCTGTTTAGAGGATCTACAGTAGTAAATGTAGTAGTTACTGACGCGAAAATATATATTATCGTGTGAATGCGCTTTTAAGACCATTCACCACACCGAAACGAAACTATGTATACTTTTGTCACGCCTTGTTCAAAACTTAATTTGCTTGTTAAATATATGGTTTTGCACCGTGTGCATATCATAATGCCCATGGTGCCAATGGCTTTTACAGAGACTGGACGGGACACGAAAGTGAGCAGCACAGCAATAGTCGCGAAACGGTTAGGCAGTACCCCACATCTAATTGCAAGAGAATGAACAGAAACAGAATTAAACTTTTCCGAATTCCTAATTCTACTATATAGGTTTTGGTATGCTTCTAAGCGAAGGGCCTCACGAATCTTTTCTTCCATTTTATATGTCCTAACAATTTTGAATTCATGCAGACACTCTGATACGATGAAACAAGTTCAAGCGTATACACAATAGTCGATATGTAATAAGGATACAAGAAAGCGCCTAACACGTATGATGCACTATACTATGTTTAGCTTACTCCATATTTTAAGTCGCAATTAAGATCTTTGTAAAATGCTTTGTTATATATGTAGTAGTATTTAAAAATGTGCTGTACCAACCTATTTGGATGCTTATCAACACCAGTGTCGTTTTCGTGAGGACTAAATATCCGTGCATCCCCACATGGTGCTGTATTTATATACAAATGGAAATGTACCCCGGATTTTAGTTTATAAGGGTATTGCCCGTCTGTATTCCTCACGAAAATCGACTGATATGCTGTTGCTATATATTAGAAAAAAAAATGAAATTAGAATAATCAAATGTATATAAATCAAAGTTAGGCGTTGTGATTGTGTATGCTTACTTAGAATACACAAATATGTTATACAAAATAAATACATGTTGCATGTATACATATATATAAATATATATATATATATATATATA